TTGTCGTATTCAGAAGGGAAACGAATTCGGTTAAAATTTATTTCAACAATCTTCATTCAGTTGTCAATGTTTTTTTGTGGTTGTTAGGCACGTGCCTTTCATCTTGACTTCATCAGAATTCACTATGCTAACGAGTTTCTTCGATCTTAATGAATCATATCACTTTCTTCAAATTGTAAAAGCTTGCTTCAGATTCTCCCAGCTTAGCATTATCTTAGAATCATCCCTCTCAGATTTTCGAACGCTCACATGATGTTTACGTAAACAACATTGAAGCTTTAAGAAATTTGAAATGAGTCCAATCAAAGAACAAGACTGTGTGGTACTACAGGAAGCAGCCCGAAGTGAAAACGAAAAGTCTCATAGTTCAAGGTCATTCACAGTCACCGATCGATAAATCGGACGAAAGACGGCACTGCATGCTTCCGTCTTTTCAGTCATTTGTTGAACAGATCAAAATCGCTATTGATTTTTCATTTGAAATCTTGAAATTTGAAAAAATTGATAAATGAAGAATAATTTTATCCGCAGAACGCCTAGCATTGTTATAGGCTGTATACATCGAGGAGCAGCTTTCTGATAGCAAACGGGATCCTGCCAAGGAATGATTAATCCAGTAGGGAAGAAGTAGGAGGTCAGGGAGGGGGAGCACGAGGTCGCAAACCTAAAAATTCGGCAAGCAAAAGTGCTTGCAATAGCTGCTTGCCGTGGTCCCCGACGAAGATTATTTTTGGGTTTGTGTAAGTAAGTAAGAGTTAGCGTTGTATTGGTAACGAAGATGGATCGAGTAGATCGTGCCAGATGTTTCATTCTTTCATTCACTCGTTCGTTTTCTTTTACTGACAACCAAACGCTGGCCATCTGTTAGCTATTTATGCAATGGCATGTAATCGTAATCGTTATCATCATCAATCTTTCCTCATACGATTATTACTTATTTGCTCATATATGGAGAATAATTGCGATTGCATCCATTTCTTTCTTCCAAGAAAGAAATCAATTGATCGTTTGCTTTATCACTCTACAAGTAAGTGTCAACGATTCAAAGCTCAGCATACTCATTCATCCCGCCGTTCCACTGACAAATATCGTTCATGTGCACGTTCATGCATAAATTTATTTGTCGGTGCTGTTCTGGTAACCCGTGACTGAATCTTCCATCTATTATTAGCATAACAAATCGTTGTAATGATTTATTCATGAAATTGCACACAAAGAACCCCTCATGTCATGTGATATAAACAGTAATATATACTAAGAATAGCAATAATCCCATTGACCGTACTACCAGCAATGATGAAATGAATGATAATGATGATAACGATAGTAAGAATAACGCACCTGGAATATCAAGTGTTTATATAGATGTTTATTTTGGATGGTTTATGTGAGCAGGTAATCTGTCTGTTATAAAGACTATTCTACAAAACTATTACAATAGATAATCTTTACAGTAATTACTTAATAACTGTCACAAATTGTTGGTGAAATTTGTTATCATAGATAGAGGTTAAGTAAACTGTTGTATAGCGATGTGGATTTTTTGTTGCATTTGTAAGAAAGAGATATCCACTGTTTAAAGCGGTTTGCTGAAGATTTTGTGTTGATTTGATTTGTAGAGAAGAGTATAATTGTTTGACGAATGGAGGCAAATCTTTTGAGTATTTGTTCATATTTATGAGGTACGTACGTAATTGTTTGCTGAAAGTCATTCAATAGTACTTAGTAGAAGTATTACCAATATTCGAGTAATATTACTTGTAATTTACTATTGAGATTACTTTACTGTTTCTTCTGAGAATTACTCTGATTTATCGTATGAGTTCACTCGACTTTAACACATAAAGAGTTCAATTAACTTTACGAGAAACTTTTTCTGGCGAATGTCATTAAAATGTAGATTTCAGTTTGTTGATTCCGCTGTTCGGCTAACTAGATTTTATATGTTCAACATCATTGGTTCGCTATAAGCGTAAAGCAAGCTGGCTGAACTTTGAGTGATGTATTGGCATTGTAAATGTAGTAGTAGATTGAAGAGTATTGCTCAGACATTACCTGGATTGATTGGATTAAGCAAGCAATCTCAAACGCTTACAACTTAGTGGCAGATGGCCTTACGTTTAGTCTTTTCTGTTGGCATTATTTTAGCCTTAATTGATGCCACCTCGCTGGCTAGGCGGCGGGCAGGCCAACAACCACTCACCAACTGAGTATTTCAATTAGTTGCCGTAAATACTTTGCATAATTAAACGCAACCGACTACCAATCCAGTGAATAATCGTATCGTAACTCTACTAAACATAAACAACATTTTGCCGATTGCCCAGAGCGATCGGCTTAACAATCGATCAGTGTTCACATAGCAGTTAAGTTCAAATTCAGAAATGCTTGTAAAAAATGTATTGGAAACGAGCCTTTAGATCTTTCGGTGACCCTAATTCTCACAAGCAGAATCTATTTCAAGCAGTTTGTCAAGCAGATCTGGATTCGAGTAATTCATGAGTGCGTTCCTGCCCGCATGTTACAGTAGCACTTTACGCATCTGTCTTTAATCACCTTTCCTGGTTGATTTTTGATATACTGTTGAAGAAACGCTTTATAATCTGTCGTTTCCGTTGCGTTGTAAATTTTATTTGAATCACAGTCGAAGGAACGAAATCTGGATGGATGTGAAATGATATCAAACTGGAGTATCGATCACTCCACTTGTCATGCCATTCGATTAGAGACTTCCTAGTTCACTTCCTAGTTTATTAGAGCGATTTTTATTGATAGCACTGAGCGATGACATTGCTTAATCACGTTCTCCATCGCAAGCAAATTCCAGTTCAACTTGCACTTAAAAAGAACAAAGAAAAACTTACGAAACAGCAAGCAAGCGTTTTGATTATTTTTGATCATCAACAACAACAACAAGATTATCTCTGTGAGCTTTTTACGTAAGTGCAACATTATGACTGATGGAATTCACTAAAAATTTAAATTGATTAACCAACTCGTCGATTCAGTTATGATATATGCTCTCGTTGTTGTTTAATTCAACGAAATGCCACTGAGTGTTTTCACATCGTTACGTCCGCTCGAAATATTCATCGTAAAAACTGCTGGTGCCATAGGCATTCGAATCCTCAAACTACGTCCATACAACCGTACGTGTATGGAAATATACATTTCGAAACATTCATTCGATGGATTTTGATCATTTGATGATTGTTTTTTGTTGAACATTTTCATTTTAAATGGATTGTTTTCGAAAGAATATTATTGGAAATACGAGTTCATTTGGCGCAACATTAAAGTTCCATTAATCTAGATATATTCACTCACTCACAAATGGAAATATTTTTGCTGCTGTCACATGCTGTGCTATTGTCACTGCTGTCACATGCGCACACACCCAATTTGTGTGTCATCGATCATTAAGCATGATACGTTAAAGGGAACTCAGGTTGTTTGCTGTCATGATATGATGTTTCCAGTAGGTGCTACACCTATCTCTAAAATTACCGACTAACACATTTCGCACTATATCACTCAAAATATTCCTCATACAGTACTCACATGTTTATGAATACTCATACAGTACTTACACGTATATCTTCTCTTGCTTCAAACAAGAATCTAATTTTTTTGATTCCCAATTAATTCTAGGATTGAGAAGAAACCACCTGGAGTAGTTTATATGGGTGAGTTGATAAGCGGGCACGCTGAATCTTATTTAATAAGTTTCAAAAAATTTGGAATTTGAAATTGATTGCGGATTGATTAAGTGCACAGTTGAGATCAGCTCAGTTTAGCAACTCATGATCTCGTTTGTTTAGTTGGGTTATATATGAGCAGTTTGTTGGTCATGAATGTGTCTTCATTGTTAATTATAATATGCGGTGAATTAACACAACACAATACTCCATGTAAATATACCGTATCCGCTTAATCAGGGATCCGAGGCTGTTATTAATTTCGCACACTTTAGACAGCAGGATATGTTCAAGAAAGTGGAGATGTCTTCAGAGAAAGGGCATCACTTCAACGGGACAAAATATCTTCAGAAACATGGAATCGTTCAAGGGAGGGTTGCGGATTTCCCTGATCCTTTTCCGGATCGTAGATCCATTTGAGCTTGACCAGGGGGGGGGGGTAGAGGGTGGGGAAAGGACTTTACAAAAGAATATAATGAATGTTATTTTATTTGCTGATTATAATCCTTCTTTCTGATGAAGTATAATGAATTAATTCATTCAATTAATAATTCTAACACATATATAGTTCATGAATGTTGAATTTATTCGTTGCCTTTGTAATCGTGTGCAAATGGCTGCTGGATGTGTTGTGATATTGTTGCGCACTAACTAATGCGCTACGGAATGTTAAAAACATGTTATTGTCATTGTATCGGCGAAGAAATAATGCAAGAAGGAACGAGATTATTTGCAACAGTTACTATTAGTATTTCTAAAATTACTAACTGCTGCTATATCACACACACACACTACTGAATAGGAAAAGACTATTATTACTTACTCTTCAACTAGTAGTGTACATTACTGCTATATTTATATTACTTTATGGAGGATTGTTCACTTGCCACTATGCCAATACACAACTAACAAGTAATAGTTCACGTTTATGAGTAAACAGCTATGCTTGTGAGTGCTCTGTTGCGTTAGTACTTTGATCAAGAATGCCCTTCAGAGAGTGAGTTGCGACGACAACGTGCTTGTGGCGGCGCCATGCTTCGTAAACCTAGCAGGAAGTGTGTATTGGGAGGGAGGGACGGGAGTGAAGGGAGAAACGGGATTTGTGGTCTTTCACTGTTCGAGATATGGACGAACGACCACCCGGACCGAGAGACCATCATCAGCAATTCCATTCATCACACACTTGAAGTAGTACGCGCCAAACGGGTGGCGCTTTCAAATTCTCGCAATCTAACTCGATTGCGAGAGATTCCAAGCAAGCAGCAGCTGGGTGGTTGACACCAAACATCTATCGACATCCCACTAGAACTTTGTCGTCGTCGTCTCCGTTGTCATACGCATTGCAAATCCAGTTGTACTACTGCTGCTACGGCTACTGTTTTCCTCTCCGATCAGTGTCCCTTGTCCTTTTCCTCTGATTCCCCCATTTTGCTGTGGTTTTTCTAGTTTCTTCACAACTCACAATTTCTTTCTTTGCGTAATCCTCTAAAAAATTCGTGCATAATCCCCCACTTTCATTCCTTTCCATTTCTTAGTTTTCAACTTTCCCATTCACATTCATTCTTCTTCACACTTCGTACTCCAAACAAACAAACCAACCAACCAATCAACCAACCAAATTTCCTCCCCATTTATTTAATCATTTCGTTCTCCTCATCGAAATTACTGCTCACCAACTCCTCACTCGCTCACAATCAGTTCAAAATTTCCATCCAATCTCGATCTTTCATCATTTTCAGCATCACCATCAATACCGCCATCTTCATTCGTATGTTCATTCATTAATCCCATCCAACTGCTCACCACTCCCTTCATCCTCCCTTTACTGTCCTTCCTTCCTTCCAACTGTCCGTCCGTCCGTCCGTGCGTTCCAACGGCAACAATCGTATCCGATCTGACGACTGCACTAAAACGAACGAGCGATTGAAGAGGACCAGTGACGAGAATGAATAAAACACAAACAAACACAAACACAACATCGTTGCGCAAAGCGACGTTTATTTAAAGAATATTTTATAGTTTAGTTTAGTTGCACAGTTTTTATAATAGTAGTATTATAAAGATGGTATAAACTTACCAGAACGTTCCGTTCCCATTAAAACTATTGCACATTCGTTCATTTACTTATGTATTTATGCGGATGGATGGATGGAAGGAAGAATGGACGGATGGATGGATGCTTATTTGTACACATAAAGTTAACTTATTTTTATTCGTTTATATTTATGCATGCATGCTCGCTCATATTTTACATATGCAATGCAGCAACAGCAAGTAAGTACACAGCGCACAAATTGTCCCTGTCCCTGGTTGCTCGTTGTCAGTTGTCCTCTTCGTTCTCCTCATTTGATGTCCGTTGTTGTTGCTGTCGTTTGCCGTCCTCCACTCAATGGTTCGCTTAATTTGTCAGGTGATGATGCGTCCACCACCATCTTCATGCCTCGATCCAATCCCTAGTAGTCTTCCTGCTAGCTGCTAGCCGGAGCAGCAGCGGTGGCCTTCCTACCAGTCTTGCTGGTAACTTGCCTCTATCGCCACTACTACCTCGTTTCGTTGTTGTTGGTTGTTGTCCCTCTCTCAACAAATAAGTGACAATGTCTGTCATCCATCCACATATCCATCCATTCATATTTCCATTCATACATACACATCTTCCTGGTTTAAGTATTCCTTCACTCTTCTACTCATTGGATGAATCATTTTATTCGTTGCATTATTTCATCTATTGCTTCATTTCGTTTTCCTCGTATTGACTCATTTATTTATTTATTTATTCATTTCGTTCATCACCATAATGCTGCCTGCGTTAGTCCCTCAATAAGGACAACATCACCCATCAAAACAGCGGGCCATGCCAACGCCATATCGGCAACAATACCAACAACAGTTCAGTCCAGTTTAGTCGGAAGAACGAGCAGTCAGCGTATACGTTGAGTTAGGAGCTGGGTTAAAAGGCCTGAGCTAGAGTTGGTTCGGTGGGTTAAGGGCCCCGAATTGCGGGGCCCTCGACCCAATCAATCAACAACTCTAACTCAGCGGTCCTTGACTAGCGACTGATTTCCTGGTGACATTATACTCGGAACGGAACTTTCAATTTTCTGTGTTTGTAGCTTCGATGAGTTGGTATTCTATTGAATATTTTTAAAAGTTTCGCATTAAGATAAAACTATACGTGCTGCTGCTGGCACGTGTTGCGAGTGTATGTGTACATATTTATGGATATTTGCGCATCGTGTATGCACTTAGAAGAAAGCAGCAGCAGCAACTTTGTTGCTTGAAAGCTGACACATTTAATTAACGGCATGGCAGCCATCCAAGCTCTACCCAATGTCCTTGCTAGCTGAAGGCTTTCCTCTTGTGCTAATATCACTAACAAGCATCTATATTCAGCGCTATCTCCGTCTCGAAATCTGCATTTATCCCGTTCTATATTCTTTTATGTCTGAAGTTTGTTTGCATCACTTCATCTGTCAGTTTACCATTATCATTAGTGTTATGCTTAATGCAGATTTGATCAAAGTTTCATTCTCATTCTCATTCTCGTTGATCTATCTGATCATGTTTAATTGCAACAAATACGTTGAAAATTGAATTCGAGTGAGTCATTCCCTCTGCATGACAACTAAATTGCTATCGTTTTCAATGAGATCATATCATATAATCACTACTGTCATCATAGAAACTGTAATGTCATTCTAGAGTTCAGTCTTAAGATTATGTGATGACGAATATCAAGCAAGGGCATTTGCTTCACGATCTCTGAATTATTCCACCTCATGACTGCAAAAGAGTGCGAGAAATCGCTTTTCCTTGTTGCGCACTGAAAAACTCCGAAGTGAAACAGCAGATTTTTGTAGAGGTTTGCATCGAGCAGCGTTTGCAACGGAATTATTGGGTTAAGCCACTGGAAAGGTTTTAGGGAATATGTTCAATTTCCTCTTTCAAGCACAGTTCCAAGCAAATCCTACCAGTCTGCGTTCGTCCTATTGTGTTCCGGCGATTATTTTTGAGAGTTGTCAATAGTAACGATTTCCAACCGAAATAATTATCGATATATCATCAGAACAATTCATCTGAAGTTTATTTACCTAAGCGATATGCCGAGCGAGCATTTGGAATCAATTTATCGTACATTGTGCCTCACAAAGATATTATTGTTATTATTATTATTATGATTATGATTGCTATTCTTATTGTTATCAGGCAATGTTATTGTTATTGTTTGTCTTGTGATAAGCACTTAGAATCGATCTTCTTCTAAAAAGGAAATGTGTTGGTATCAGCAAAGTAATTTTAACTTTACGAGTTTGAGCAATTAAGCGCGCTTATGTTAACGGCAGAATTTATTCCAAACTGGAATCCGATGGGGGTATCGATCATAACGATGATAATGATCATATGGTCCCAACGATATCGAGTTGATTTTTCACAGATTTTCTCTCAGTTTCCATATGGAATATAGCCGTTTTCGAAGTTTTTAAACGAAACTTTCGTTCATTCTGTGCAGTTTATTTTACAAGAACTTCTCTTGTAAAAAGGGCAGCATATGTAGCCCTTGCGAAGAATTCATGCAAGAAATGGGCATAAAATCAACTGATTCAAATGACAAATATTTGGATGATAGCTAATAAGCACTCAAGCGAAATCGTCAACGATATCGAAACGAAAAGCAACGCAACCACTCGGCAAAAGTCGACCAAATAAATCAAAGAACAAACAGATTACGCGCTCTCGACACGACAATAAACATCATTCAGTTCAGTTCATTCCCATATAAAGCATCACAAATTTTGATTGTCCAGTGGCGCCGCCACGCATCTAAAACCAACTTTAATATAGTGTACACACATCGCATCCATAATGTCATACATCCTAAAATTGTCACGATCGCTAATACTATAGTTATTGCTCATATCGTTATCATTATCACCGTTACGATTACTTTCATTTCATTATTATTATTATTTTTATCTTGCTCACTATTATCGCCTCTAATAATATTATCACCACAATTACTGGTGTAATTACTGTTGTCGTTTGGGAACTTTTTCACCTCTCCGTTTCCGTATGGAATTCTACAAGTTTACCGATTTCTAGTTATTATCTAACTACCAGTAACGTATATTATCATTACGGTCAATGATATTGGTACACCACTCGGTTTCGATCAGAACTTTCCTTCCCGTTCGCGGAGGAAAATTTTGCTCGAAACCGAGTGGTGTACCAATATCATTAATGTTGTGAGCCTAAGCCAAGCTATGATCCGGCTTGTATCTGTTATCTAATTGTGTGCTATTATTCGTTACAGTCAATGTTTAAAAAAATCTAATCGTAAGTTATAACAAATAATATCAATAATGACTGCAACACAACCGAACATGTGAAAATTAGAAATTACCAGTGAATGATAGCAATAGCAATGGCCGTTGGGTGTCGTCACACAACAGTTGTGTGGATGAGTAGAAATGCACGTCACATATAATTTCTCATTGGAATTCGATCTGATCAGATCACAGTGATTGAACAATGAGAATGCATTAATGAACGTATGATCAACGTAACCGATTGAAATTACTACTATCTATTTGCCGCCACAACAGTGAGTGAGTGATGTTATCAGTTGTTGATAATGCATTATCAGTTACTATTGCTTAACATTTAGCGATTATTTACTTTTTTCATTCATTTATTTATTCATCGTTCATTCTGCATTCACCAGTTTTGTCAATATTTGGATGGGTGGGTTTGGGTTTTTGTTTGTGTGTGTATGTGCATTTGAGTCATGTATTCTGTACTATTATTATTGATGATATTATTATTATTATTAATATTATTATTATTAATGATATTATTATTGTCATTGTTATTATTATTATTAATATTGTTTTCGTCAATACAAATATCATGACGTTCGGTGATATAATTGTTTGTGATGTTATTACTACGAATCACGTGAATTACGTATATCATTAAATAATTGATTTCCTTTACTTTAGAACAGATTTTCGGCTCTTCTCATTTATTTTGCCAATCCCAATCGAATGTTCCTATGGATAACCGTTTCTTTAAACGTTTATTTTTGCAGTTTCGAAATGCTTGTTGCCCATTTCTATTAATAGGAACATCCATCCAAAGCCAGTGCGAAGATCGTAATGAATGATGCTCTGTCGGGCAATAGTGAATGTTTGGAATGTTCGGAGTAGTGCAGAATTGTGGGGAACGGAGAATTTTAGGGATCCATCGGGTCCGCGACTTTTTTCGAGGTGACCGCATTTTCGGAGTCTCCAACTACGTAATTTCATCTCCAATTTCACAATTTCCCACCTTTTTTCTTCCCCGCAACACNACGTTTTGTTTTTCAGTTGTATATTAATTTAATATACGTATCGATTCGCACATTCCTAACAATAAGTGCACATGCACATGTGATAGCTCTATGTCACCACGTAAGCTTTCGAAAAGCTGAACGTTGCCGAAAAAATTTTATATCATTATAGGAGAAGAATTTGCGCATTTCACGCTCTCGCAAACCCACATAAACTGATGGAACACTCCAATTTGCCACTTCAAAACTTAGCCTCTTTGTGAAATTTCCGCTTGCGTTGATAATCGAATGAAATTCTGGGAAATTTCAATTGAACTCTCTTCAATTCAAGCGTGAATTAGATGAAAACATTTGGTAGTGAGCATGTGATAATACCCACCGCAAGGCACACACACTCATTTCCGTTCGTTCTCTTTTTGCTTTCTCATCTTTAAGTGATCATGGAAATGTTAAATGAGTTGTTTTTATATCTTCGTTCATTTAACACGTGTTCTGTTCATTCAATAACTCTTTCATTCTTCTTCTTTATTCAAATGTTTCAAGTCAGGAAATTCCACAAGCTGTTGCTGCTTACGATTCGGTTCGCTCTTAAAAAATCCGTTATCCTCATTTCTGTGCCGAATATTTCCTCCATTTCATCTATGATCAATTGAAGCATTTATCGCTGATTACTACTATCAAGCGATCTAACAACACATATAACCACGCTAACTCTAGATGCTTTATTTCATTAGGTTCTAAATCGATTTGTAAACGATCATATTAATGATCGTGATTGTAGTTGTGATAACGTTAAAAATGATCATACGATCCATCCAAAAAAGCATGTGACCATGTGATCATGATGTGTGTTTATTTATTTTCTTTTGTTGAAGCGTTCACTTTTTGTGCGATTACTGCCAGATTGATTTATTTGTCGTAATGCTGAATATGATAATGTGTTGTGCATGATGGCTGGCTGTGTTGAGGCAGTCAGGTCTTTGTGTTCTGATCAAGTTATACCATTTATTTGTGCTTCATTGCACTTTCATGATTGCTGAACGAGCATTAAGTGTTTTTTGAGATTGGAATCTGTAGAATTTCCTCTTCCGACTTCATTTTTGCTAATAGACCATTCGACAAGAACTAGTTGATAAGTAGACGTGATCTTACCCATATCTACCTTCTCCGTCGTCCACCACCTCCGTAAAGCTTACTGCAATCGCCAAGAACAAATTCTGTTGCTTGCTTCAAGTATGAGAGTTGTTTTGTAAGAGTCAAGATAAAGTGGTAATTATTATCGTATCGAAAAAAATCTCTTTTTGGATTATCGTATCGAAAAAAAATCTCTTTTATCAACAGTATCATATCACATCATAAATATGAGTGAAGTTTTCACTCTTGCGCATCTTCTTTCACATTTCATGCATATTTAAAGATACTAGCGCATGAAATCATCAGCCTTCATAAAAATCCAACTTCGATTTTTGATTTGACGATCGGAGATGTGCTCAAGCATGGAGCACAGCTGATAGAGTATATTGTTTTGATAAAATTCAG